AGTTAGACCTCTAACACCATTGACAGCCACACGAGAATCGCTATACCTGGAAACTAGACTTACCCGTTAGCGGTGTAAAAGCGGGGAAGGGGGAAATGAATAATCGATTCTGCCCCGGGGTATCGAGATTACGGCTAACTTCTTACGTATGGGTGTGCTTAATTCCTAGACGCGCTATAGTCTATCATCTTACGCCGACGATCCGCCATTACATTTTCGATGAGTTACGCGAAACGTGGAACCGCGGTCCGGAAACGGTGACGAGTTTCGTTCGTTTCCGGAACGCGGCCGGAAGGATCTGGGATCCTCCCCAGACTTGGGCACATTTTATTTTCGAATAACGAACGAGAATTTTTAGATTCGCAAACGATAAATCTAGATCAATTTTAATGCACAAAATTATGATTCAAGAATGAGAAATTATACGTTTATACATTTAGTAAAATACTCAATAGTGGTTTTCATGCTCACAATATGGAAACATTCACAAATTAAAACAAGTTATATAGAGTAATTTATATTAAAGAAAAACTTTATAAATCGAGTGATTAAGATAATAGAAAATAAAGGATCTACTAATTATTAAATAGTTAATGTTATACAGGATAAGGCACGAACTAGTCCCCACGGTCATAGTGTAGCAGGTCGTTGAATTCGTCTATAATACTATGGAGTTAGAAATACCTAGTTCCATTTAAAAATATAACAGTGACCTCAATTTTGTATCGAAAATCAATTTGTTTTTAAATTCAAGCAACTGCAATTTCTTGTCGATTAAATACTGATTAACGTTCGATAAAAAGCATTTATTTGTCAGACCATCGAAAGGGGTTGAAAAATTGTGAGGAACTGATTCGTGTCTCACCTTGTATATTTTGATCACTTTATAGATGTGTTTTGGCATTGATGCAGTTATCGTTTTGACAATCGATATTATTTTTGCCAAATAAACAAGAACTCGATTTGTCGTAGAGTAAATCGAAAGGGGTGTGTTATCGAACCGATTAAGACCCTTCGTTGTTCGCAAAATCTAATATCGTGAACATTTCCAGCCCCTAATGTCACCATATTATCTGTACTGGGGGTATAGTTTACGAATGAAACGTAAACGGAAGTCGGAAGCTTTTATTCGTTATTTGAAAATAAAATTTGACAAACTCTGAATCGTCGCGAGAACGCGAACCTGGTCCACGTCCCGTGGATTCGCACGCAAATAGCACCGTATCAATAACAAACGTTCGCACTAATCAACGGAAGCGTATAAAATCTGGAATATTGGTAACGCAGCATCTGCTCGAAACGTACAAGTAATAAATAAGATCATCAAGAGTATAGTCGTTCGGCATACGTTCGTCGAGTTGCTCTCGAGAAACCTTAAGGAACTATTTTGGCACTAGAATCCACTTTGGTAGCGTTAATTTAAAGCCTCTGTGTGTACGTATGTGTGCGTGTGTGTGTGTGCGCGCGCGCGTGTACGTGTACGTGTGCGTGTTCGACTTAATCGAGTCGCGAGTCCCGCGTTTAACGTATGGTTTATGGATACTGTATACCTAGTTTACTGGTTCTGATTATCTCTGAAGTGAAATCTTAGATCGAGAAGTTTCAGGCGTACAGAACCTGCTAAAACGACCGTGGCCCTCGATGTTTCGAACTGATCCACGAAATGTTATCTGGACTCCGCGATCGTTCGAACGATCGACAGCCACGATCCGTGTCTTAAATTCTACCGGTCTGGACACTTAGTAGCGTTTTTCAATTACGATGCTTAATTATCTGCTATTTCGTACCTACGGTCTAGGACAATAGAAAATTCTTAGTAAATCTGATTCGTTTTGTAAAACTGTGTCGATCGAGCGGAACCTGTCGCCACGATTACAAAATTCGGCATACGTGTCCGCGCTAAAGACGTACGCGCTAAAAAGATTACGAATTCGCTCGAAGACGCTTTACGATCGGCGTGTTCGGAGAAATTTCTTCGAACGAACCGAATTTACCATATCGGGTGCACTGTTTCATCTCGTACGTGGAAAAACTACGCGAGGAAATCTCAGTTCTCCCTGCGAACGTTCCGTCGAGGAAAGAGCCTGCAGCCTTTGACGCAGAAGGTGACGGTGCAAACAGGACAGAGGGGGAAAAAAAATATAACACTCGTTCGTACGGAGCGTCACAAATTGCATGGTCAAACTCGAAAAGGGATGGGACCATCCTTCTTTTTTTTCGAACAGTGTCATTTATTTTTGCAACACTCTGTATTCGTCTCCCGTGTACGAAACGGGCTTCACCGGTTCAGTTTTCAGATGCAAATCGCGCAGGTCGCTGGCAACCAGGACGGCTTTGTTTTCAACGATATTCAGCGTTACAACGAATCGGCCACCATTGTGCGGACTCCCTTTCCCTGAAACCTCGCGTTCAAAATATCTGATCGACCGTAACGCTTCGACCCATACTATCGACTTTCCGTCGACTGGCTTGGACGATTATATTTAAAAATAACTAATTTGTAATCGAGTGTGTTGGTTTAATCAAAATTCTGGTTAAAATCGATAATATTTCCATTGTAAATGCGAGAAAGTTCATCGCTACTAGGGAAATCAGCTTTGGAACCAGTACGAGGCAATACTCGAGGCAAAATGTTTCTATTTAATTCGTGTCTTGTCTCGTTTTAATCAGGAAAATACCCAAATATATTAAACAGAATTTTGAAAATGAAAAATAAAAAGGTTTTGCCTTTTTCCACGTTGTTGATTGGAGACCTCAACCAGATTCTCGGTGCTTGTGTGCCTTTGATGTGTGATGACCCACAGTGTTCGAAAACGGCGATTTAGACGCGAAAAAGGATATTTCAAGTGCATAACGATTATTAACACTGATGACATCAATTTTGCTCAATAATTTTTATATTATTTTATGTTAAATGAAAATTAAATTATTTAATTAAAGAAAAAAACGAAATGTATTTATTACGAAAGTTTCACTGCTGCATAACATTTTGAATTCTATAATGTATGTAAATAATGAAGAAATAATAAGAATAAGATTCGCTAACTTTAAAGTTATATTATTAAAAAAGTAGTAAAAAGTAGCAGTCGTGATGGAATTTTTTAAAACGTACGATAACTGCATACTAAAATTGGTTCTTTTTGATTACCTGTATTTAAAATTATAATAAATTTTAATGAATTGTTTTTATTCTAAAATAAAATGTGTATCTTCCTGTGCAAGATTCATACAGTACAAAATGAAATCATTGCAATATCATTATTTCCTAGAAGGAGAGATATGAACTGCAAAAACTGATTTCCAAGAAGAATAGAAACGTCGAGTTCCGGAGTAAAAATTAACCGATTTAAACAATCTCAAGGATTTACAAACTTAATGACACCCAAAGTAGAATGATTGGAGACAGTCAACAATTTGACTTTTTGACGTCTAAATCGTCGTTTTCGAACACCCTTTCGATGATTGCATCCCTTCGATCTCGAAGAAAGCACATAGATCGTCAAGCACGACAGATGGTAAAGAAATAATCTTCGATCTGGCGTTTGGCTTTGTTCCTACTTCGATTGCTTTTCTGTTCCGGTTATCTAACCAGTCTCGATGTTTCCCTGCGGGTTTTTCTCGCGAAACGGTCCCTCTTGGCAAACAGACGCGGACTCGCGTGTCGTTTCGCGCGATATTCGAGCACTGGTTGCGGTCTAAGCTTGCACACAGAGCCACGAACGCGGAATCCGCGGCGCCGCGTCAAGTTCGTTAGCCGACAATTGTTCTCCGCGGTTCGTGTATCCTCGCTTTGGTAAATTTGCCGTGGCGTGAGAACGAACAGAGGAGGAACGGAGAGGGAGCGCGAGAGTTAAGGGCTGGGAACTGCGGAGAGTCATTAGGATATATTGTCAAATCCGACGCTTTGAAACACGCTTTCCACCGGATACGACCAACTTGCCCTTGGTCACCTTCTGCCTCCCGAATCGATCCGGCCCGCCATTCTCTCCCTCGATCGTTCCATTCTGGACAAACCCGAGCCATTTTCTTCTTCTTATCTTTCCTTTTCATCCCCCATTCTTCGAGCGAGGCTGCAACGCCGACGACGCACAGCGTGGCGAAATACATTTAGTTGCATTAAATACTCGAATAATACGACTCAACTATCCAAAGACGAGGATAGTTGAACCGATTTCAACTATTTATGAACGGAGACGTTGTCATTTTAATAGAAAAAAAATTACCCTAAATATCTTGAGAAATATTGAACTTACAAAAACATGTTTCGAAAAAAGTTGTGTCATTTTTTTACTGAGAATATGATTCCGAAATAAAAAATATGGGTTTATGGTGAGAAAAGTCAACATGACTTAAGTGGATTATTGGGGCTGCAACGGTCCTCCGAAAGTTTAAAATATATAATCCTCAAAGTTGAAACATTAAGTAAAAAAATTCAGTCGAGGTTGAGAGTCCAGTTAAGGGTTAAATCGTCTTCGACACCCTGTCTGCGATAATAACGTTAGTATTACTTTTTCGATCCCGCACAAAAAATCTGCAGAAACCAAATAGACTTCTTTTATATCAAAAGATCAATTCCAAATTCAAAGTCCGTGTTACGAAATGTCGCAGCGTATCAATTTTCGTAAAAATCAAATATTTCGTTAGCTTTTGCACGCCGTGCGACGTCGACGGATGAAAATGGCCGTTCCGCCCCCTCGTCGCGTAAGTTCCCCGAAATGGGTCGCGAGACGCGCGAAACGGCGTTGATGAGATATCTACAATGAGTTCGGGCTGCGCGTTTAAATAAAAACCGTTCCCCACCGGTTGCATTCATTTTGATTTCGCTCCGTGCGGGCAAATCCGAGGAACCGCGATTCCCCGATGAGTTTGTCGATAATCGGCACGCGCAAAGCGACCCTGTCCGGCCAGGGCCGGCGAGGCGACCCTCGATGCTCGATTCGATCGTTCGATGTCGTGCTATCACCTGAGACGGAACACGATGGGACGACTGGCCGTACCCATTAACTCTCTTTTTCCTCGATGGGACTCACTTCGTTCTGCAGAAGCTCGAACTTCGGGCTCAGTCCCGGAAGTATGCTCTTGGTGCTGGTCTTGATCTGACTGTAAATGTCCAACGACTTCTTCCGGTCCAGTTCCAGGCTCTCCTCGATCAGTCGCGGCGGGATGCTTCCGCTACGCTTGTGACTGGGCACGAACGCGCTACCTTCCGGTTTCTGATCCTTCGGTCTGTCGCCTTTGTGCTCCGGCGTAAGGGTCCCGTTGCCCAGCTTTCGCTGCTGTTCCTGGAACGTGTCTTCCTGTACGTCGTCCTTCAGCAACGCCCCGGTTATCACGGGCTTGTTGCTCGCCTCCGATTTCCCAAACTCGTTGCTCACCGCCTTCTGTTCCGTCGTCTCCAGCTTATTGGGGGTGGCGCCGTTCGCTTGGAGGTTGGGGTTCGACCGTACCGTCTCCGTCGAGATGCTCGCGTCCGTCGAGTCCTGCTGGTCCATCGATCCCCCGGATCCCTGCGACGCGTCCAGGTTGTTCTGCTTCTCCGCCATCGACGGCTGAAACAATTTACGGTAACATGAAACGAGAAAGAAAGATGAAAGAATCGAGTTTTACGTTTCGACGTTGTTCAACTTCTTCGAGGATACTGGCTCGCGCAGTCAGGGACAAAAGTAAGTGGATGAAAAAGGATATAGGATTTTATTGCATGTATATTGGAGTAAATATCGATACTGATAAATTTTTCAATGATACCATTGTTACTATAATGGTTTGAAGAAATTGATGTCAAATAGAACATATAAAAATAATTTTATCAATATTGCGATGAGTTTGATTGATCAGTATGTCACCACTTTTCTACTACGATTCTTTGCTTCTATTCTTCCTAGCTGCTTTGAATTTTTCTTGCAGCATACTTTGAAAAATTGCCTTACATTTCGAGAATTTTTCTGTATGTGAACGCTTAGTATTTAAGTTATTTTGAATATCACTAGAGTCAAATTTTCCAACGATGTCACATCGTCAGAAAATTGTTGGACGTCGCAGGTGAATGCCAATTTGTATTTATTAGGAACAAAATAATTTTGTCCTGAAGAAGTTATAGCTTTCGAGATCTCGTTTGGTCGCAGAGAGCGTAACGTATGTGTGTTTACTTACGCTTTCATCAGCGTCCTTCTCGATGCTGGACGTTTTCGAGACGTTCAAGAGCGTCTTCTCGGTGTCCGGCGACTTATCGAACTCCACCCATTTCGAGCCACCCTCGAGTTTCCGGGACAGCGTATCGGACTCGTAATTACCACCGTACATCGGATACCCCAGATGGCCCGCATCGTACTCTAGTTGATTTCCATAACGATAGCTGGGATTAACCGAGCCTTGGCTAGAGATCGAGAGATCCGACTGCGACAGTCCCGTGTTTGTGCTCCCGAATAGCCTCGTGTTCTCGAAACCTGCATACCGTCAAACACACAGTTTCAGCCAAACATTACCTGCGACCCGACGAAACAGAGCCTGCGATTTCTTCGACGCGTCCTTTGGTTAATTTCGTTCGAAAAGTACAGCCAAAAGCAAAAATGAAAAGACGATAATTTTCTAAAAAACGGTGTTTCAGAAGTAGCAGCTTCTGACCCAATGTTTCTAGGGTTAAAATTGTTTCTGTACCCGGCGATCGATCCTCTGGAATTTCTTCTCTGTGAACCAGGGCCTGTTGATCGGTGACGCCAGCAGTCATGTCGTCGGAGGATCCTTTGTTAGCCTCCGTGTCGTCGTTCTGGTAGCTGGGCTGCACCTCCACCACGAACGAGCATCCGTTGTCTTGGTACTTGCGAGTTTTAGTATCCTCCATCGTCACCTGAAACACGAAACGACCAGAGTTCGTTAACTTCTTTCCAAAAATATCGCACACGATGAAAGGGGTAGGTAAATTACAATGTGAATAAGTGAAACTTTTATCTCTATCTACCGCCTCTTACTAACCTCGATATTTATAAAAATCTTTCTGACTGCGTTCTAAACATTTTAAATAGTTATCTAAATTGCGATTTTAATCTATTCCATATATGTTGGTCTGATTAAAATAACACCATTCAATTCTCTTTGCGTCAATCAGCTTCACAGACTGAAATTGCCACTGCTGAGTTTTTTACTGAAACCTTTAATTTTCATAATGCATTACGGATAAATCCAGTAACAATAATTACGAATGGGTCATTTTGACCACTTCGGTAGTTCTAATGTTAATGTATCGCTCGTCACCCTCAAAAGAAATAACGAGTTTTACAAAGTGTAATTGTATTATATTTCTAAATTTAGTATTATTTTAATATTTTCTATTCTGCTTTAACTATATAAGTTTGTAAAAAAGGCAATGTCCGTTAAAATGTATTATTTCAATAATAATAATAATAATAAAACTCGACAGATATATATACAATATGACTATTTATTTGACAAGTAAACACCCTTTATGAAAAAATGAAAAAATAAAAAGGAGCACAATTACATATATATAGTAGGATACATTGTTCTATATCGTAAGTATGCAAAAAGGGACTACGAAGTTACTGCTTATAACTAAATAAACTAACTAAAGCCTTAAAACTATGCAAGGACGAATTGAAAAGGTTCAAGTGCTATTACCTAATTAAAATAATCAAACGACAATATGAGAAATGTTTGTATCTGCGAAGGGTTAAGATTCCTCGCGAGGTTGGGGAGGCCAAAGCAGTCCAACGCCCGGCGACAGCGAACAAACCGCCACGCTTCATCGAAACTGGGAAATTAATTTCCACCCTATGGATTTCCTGACCGATGTTTCTAGTTTACCCGTAACCAACCCCCACCGCGGGCGTGTATAAATGCGACCACGATGGAAGTTGCTCGACTCGACGGACCGCAGAATTAGTTCTCGCTATTGTCCCTTACCTTCCCCATTCTCCCGTTTCGAGGAACTGAAAACCAAACAAATTCTATTCTATTACCAAACAGTTAGATATTAGTACTTCTCTATTACCTATTACTTTCATTATTTGGCTTTTCATTCTCAAAATTAACTTCGTCTCTTCGGTCCAGTGAAAACTCGATAATTACTGTACTTTTCAGCTATTTTTCGTCTCAAACTTTATGATATATACAGGGTGAGGCATTTTAAACAGGTCACCTGAATAACTCGCTTGTTTTTGAAGATAGGAGAAAATGCATTAGACCAAACTTATTTGGTATCGGGGGGCTCATAATCTGGTATTACCAATTTTTTTGTAGGTGGAGGCGTCAAGGAGATATGAAGGTCAACTTTGTTTTTTTAAATGGAACAGTATATTTTATTACTTACATTCTGATAGAGTGTTTCAAGGCGAATACAATGACCTATTATTAAGGTCATTCAAGGTCACCCAAAGTCAACTGCAATAGAAAATAAATTGTGTCAAAGCACTCTTCGAACACTTGGATACTTTGATACTGCTATTACAAGTGTTCAAAATGGCGACCTTGAACATGGATACATAGTCTAAATCGTTGCAATACTGATGACACTGCCTGGCAAATTTCATTTGTATCTATTACAGAGCAAGCTCTTCTTATACGTTCTTGCATGTCAAGTTTGGTAGTTGGTTTTTCGCGGTACACTTCTGCCTTTAATTTTCCCCCACAAATAAAAATCGAGAGGTGTCAGGTCTGGGGATCGTGCCGGCCATTTGTTACTTCCTGATCGACCTACCCAAGAATCTCCAAATTTTCTATTTAGAAATTCTGTAACATTGCGTGCTGAATGAGCAGGGCATCCGTCTTGCTGGAACCACATGGATTGTCGTATGTCCAGTGAAGTGTCTTCTAACAATTCTGGCAAAACGTCTTCTAAGATTCTCAGGTACTTACTACTATTTAGCGTGCCATCAATAAAATATGGACCAATTATTTTATTATGAAGAAGACCGCACCAGACGTTTACAGACCAAGGTCTCTGTTTGTCGACTTCTCTCAACCATCGTGGATTATCTACCGACCAGTAGTGCATGTTGTGACGGTTAATTGCTCCATGGTTTGTAAATGTGGCCTCATCGGTAAATAACAATTTACTCAAGAACATTTCATCGTCTTGTAGTTTTTGTAAGCCCCATTCACAAAATTGTAAACGTTTTGTATAATCATTTTCAGTTAATTGTTGATGAAGTGATATGTGGAACGGATGAAATTTGTTAATGTGTAATATTCGTAAAATACTTCGTTGACTGATGCCACTTTCGCGTTCCAGTTGTCTTGTACTAACATGTGGATCTTGTATTACAGCTGCTACAATATTTATCGAGTTTCCATCATCAGTTGCTCGTTTGGCAAGATTACGTGTTTTGTTATCCACAGTTCCAGTTTCTTGGAACTTTTTTATAATGTTTGTAAAGACAGAAAGTGAAGGTCTATTATTACGATCGGGAAATCTTTCACTATACACACGTACCGCTTCCCTCATAATTCTATGACATTCACCATAAATAAGAACCATTTCTACTTTCTCTGCTATCGTGTAACGCATTTTAGAAAACTAAACACTTAGACTGAATAAATGTTACGAAGCTGTGCTCTAGTCGGTAGTAAAATTACCAATAATGTTTGAGGATACGGATAAGCGTACAATGTGATTGAATGTTTGTTTATCTTTTGTGACCCGTGTCACGCAATACACACACGTGATACACAAGTATTCGAAATGTACTCTGACACAATTTATTTTCTATTGCAGTTGACTTTGGGTGACCTTGAATGACCTTAATAATAGGTCATTGTATTCGCCTTGAAACACTCTATCAGAATGTAAGTAATAAAATATACTGTTCCATTTAAAAAAACAAAGTTGACCTTCATATCTCCTTGACGCCTCCACCTACAAAAAAATTGGTAATACCAGATTATGAGCCCCCCGATACCAAATAAGTTTGGTCTAATGCATTTTCTCCTATCTTCAAAAACAAGCGAGTTATTCAGGTGACCTGTTTAAAATGCCTCACCCTGTATATTTACATATATTCCTCGCGATGTTTGAAAAAAAGCTGACATATCTATATTAGGTTGGCTTTCATTATTTGGCTTCCCATTCCCAAAATTAACTTCGTCTCTCCGGCCCAGCGAAATTCTACTCGATAATTGCTCTACTTTCCAGCTATTTTTCGTCTCGACCTTTACGACATGTGTATATATATGTACAAGATTTGTATTAAATATTTGTGCCGCGCTGCAGTTTAGTCGAATATTAATTTATATGCAAAAGGGTTGAAGGTGTTTCGTTCATGAGAAAATGGGTAATCATGATTGTGAAGAACAGACGTGATTCTTATATAATATTAATTTGTGTAAAAAGATTGTGTGCTTGGTGTGTTTTAAATTCGTTTATATAATTCTATCGTTTGTACATTTGTTCCAAATACGAATTCTCTTTGTTACATGCGATGGAAATACCTGTCGTAAGATTATGTACGTAAAAGCATGGTTCAGTGGATGCATTTTTTTGACGGGGTTGTTCGAAAAAGAGAGTCGATTCGTCGTTGGGGCAAAGAGGATCGTTCGAGAACGTCTCCGTCCATCCTCGTCGGAAAGAGGAGGAAACGACGAGGGTAAAACGACGGTGGCTTCTATTTCTCGGTTCCTCGAAGAAACTGTATCCCCGAGGCGTCGTATAAACGCGGCCCGAGTATGGCAGTTTTTCACCAGCCGTCGCAAAGTGCCGACTCTGGTCGGAAATCGGAGGCGATCGCGTCGATTCTTCCACGGATCGAGAAACGAATGGTTCGCAGGAGACATTTCCCTGGGTCGCGCGACGCTCCAAGTGTCGGTGTGCCGAGATAAGCAGAAGAGAACGCACACGTAGGGGGTGGAAGTGTTCGAGGACGCGCGAAAAAGGAAAATGGGACAGCACCGCCATTCGTTCCACTTTAGAGATCTCGCTCGACGTCTCAGGTAGGAAACTCCCGGTGGCCGTTTTCGAAAAGTCGCTGAGAGACAGTCCATAATTCTGGAACTTTGTTCGCCATCATGATCGACCGCCGTCCATGCAACTATGCTATAGGCGAATATGATTCCGAAATAAAAAATATGGGTTTATGGTAAGAAAAAACAAGATGAAATAATCTTGAAAACGATCACGTGTTAAAACATTAGCAGTGCCATTTGACTCCCCAATCGAAACACTAAAGGGCACATATCAGTTTGTTTCTTTTAACTCTGAAGTGGATTATTAGTTTGCAAGTTTAAAATATATAATCCTCCATTAGTTCATTGTTTTTTAAATTCTTTAAAATTGATTTCCATTTACCAATTTGATAAGAATCAACATCAAGTAAAATAATTCAATCGAGATTGAGAGTCCACTTAAGCGTTAGTATTACTAACTGTCGATCCCTTGCAAAAATCTGCAAAAACTAAAATTATTAATTGTTTCTCAATATTTGCAAACTTTCTATCTCGTTGTTTGCCACGTTTAACGCAAAATATCCCAACCAATCTTTCTTTCTCCAGCCGAATCATTTATTTACGCGATCGACGCTGCAAACACGCCCGTACGCTCGCGATCGATAATTGCACGGATGCCATTTTAAACAATCAAGAGCCGACCCATCAATCACCATCGTTCCCCGATAACAAACTACTCACCCTGGCTATTAGTTTGCATCGCTCGGAATTGTTGTTTACGATGGTAGAACGTTCTGACAATTTAATACTTTCACGCGTGTTTATGTCGCGGGGAACGTTCCCGCGTGACGGCAAATAATTAAACGCATTGATATTCCGTGTCTACGACCGTTTAGGGTCGTCGGTGTTTGCAACGGCACAGAATTAGAAAGTGTTGCGTCGCGGGTACAGCGTCGAGGATATTGTACCTTATTACCATATTACACGTATAAATATGTTTGCCTATCGAGATCAGAGAGGGAACGCTTCGCTGAGAATTTAATCTTCCGCGTAATAAATTAATCGATGCATAATAGGGTGCGAGATTACCGATCACGCGTTACTGATCCCGGATGCTCTACTAAACGGATGACGCGTTCTCCGTACCCCGTTCTTGTTGCTATTTATACAGTTTGCTAGTTAATAACCTATTACAATCAACATTTCTCTAACTTCCGATCAACACGAAGAAACTCGGGAATCGTAAAATGGAATTTCTTTTTTTCTTTTTACCTTGACTTTACCATCGTGGTTATTCTTTATATCTGTCGTAAAATGGGCGCGTTCGATAACGAAAACGAGGAATAAAGTTGAGAAACGTTTGTTCAATATTAACTAGTTCACGTTTTTTATTTGTGCGTTGAAATTCCCGGAGGGGGCCGCGCACGCATCGTATCGCCGAAACGTCGATTGATTAATTAAACCATCGAACGAGAATCTGCTGTTTCCCATTAATCGTACTAGTTTATAAACTGGATTCAATTAGCGAAATTCGGCAATATTCCAGGCCAAGCGATCGAACGCGGTTGCTGAAAAGGTTTCGATGATCGCTATTGAAACTTTAAACGATAAAAATATGGTGGGTTTATTTGGGGGGAGACTCAAATAACGGATCAGAGGATATATTTTTACAAGGCTCTTACATCTCGAGAATGCTGAGAAAAAGCCAGCAGGAGCTAATAGTTGGTACCAGTGGCTAGACAAAACAAAACTGCTTGGTTCTATAATTATTCTTTTTAAATAAATATAATTCAACTGTTTCTAAAGAAACATAGATTGCTAATCTCAAATATGGTATATTCTGTTTCTTAAAATTTGAGCAAGAATATATATAAAATTGAAAATTTTTGGGTGATTCTATAGTTAGGACACGCAGTGTATTACATCTTGTGTACTAGAGGGGTTTTCTTCTCGTTAATAAATGAATGGTAATAACGTGAAATGCGCTGATTCCGCGTTAGTTTCGTCGAGAGCAAGGAAAACACTCGGAACAGCGACAGGTTAATTTCTCCGTTTTATCTGTTTCGACGGCAAAGCAAGCGTCGCGACGCCTACGGTAGAAAGCGCGGCGTTGGATGGCCTTCAACGAAGCGCACTTCATTCGAAAGAAGCACTCGTGGCCCCGATAGTGTGAATATTTCTCGAATTCTGAGGGTATTCCACGCGACCAAGGGTGAACACCGCGACTTGGCGTCGGGCCAGGTATTACGTCCAAGCATCCCGAGCATCCACCCCTTCAACTCCGTCCCGTTCCTTGTCTCATTTCCGTCTCTTCTCCTCTTGGGCGAGCGTAACGCACGGTTTTTGCATTCCGTTACGAGGAAAGTGGCCCGCGACACTTGTCCTGCCCGGGACCCGACTACGAGAAGGCATCTTCTCGATCTATTTACCTACCCTGCTTGGAATTTCCCGCCACCCTTCGTATTTCCTCAACGTTTCGCTGCGGCAGCCAATTCTCTCAAACTATCGCTGGTTCTCGATCTATGACGCAACGCGTTACAGAGAGTCTCAAACCATTACAACGCTCGTTTACTTATTAATTCTTTAACGATAAAAAAAAGTAACGAAAGTAACTTTGTAATTATTGCACGGTACAAGTATCGAATTATGAAGAAATAAAATTTGAAATAAATGTACATTCGTTAGGAAATAGTGAATAGAAATTAAATAGGCGATTTTCTAAATGCTTGCAAACGTTGCGTTTAAAAATCTTTTCCCAAAAATGTTGTAATAATAACTGGAATATTCACTGCTCCCAATTGTTGGAGTTAATGCATTTCTATGCTCCCATAGGGACGTTTAGATTCTCCCATTTCTTCCTGATGTCGATAGATCCACTCAATCGTCTCTGTCTGATCGCAAACTCTTATTCTACTTGGATTTCTTTATAAGGACTATTGCACCTTTCAGAAACTGTGTATTTAAACTTTCTCAACAGTTTGTCCTTATATTGTTTACCCATTTGGCGTTAAAATTACCTTATTTTGACTATCATGTTCTACTATTTTGTATACTAATGGGGCTTCTTATTTATCGAATGAATAAAAATAAATAAAATAAAATAATACGTATATTATTAGGTATTGAAAAAAGTTCATGGAGATTTATACATGGGGCTCATTATACACTTATTGAATAAATAAGTAAATAGTGATAGTCAGATAAGATACAGGAGTTGGACGAAATATAATAAATAATAATATATTTAGACGTACAGTTCAAAGGTCGAGCCTCGTGTTTCTTGACTGGCGTTCGTAACTTTGAGAAAAGGGGTTGGAAATCTCCCAGTTTCGACACCTATGCAGGTGTTTAACCTACTTTGGTTCCCAGTTATTTCCGAAGAATTATTTCAATGAAATTTTGTCGAGATCCGTTCGCGAGGAAGGAAGGTGTATTCGGAGCGGTAATTCGGCGGATTTCGAGAATCCCTGGCAAGATGAGTTTCCACGGATAAGCCTCGACCGGTAAGTAGGACGATAGGCGGAGGCGAAATTGCCTGGTAACCTTCGACCTTACAGGGCCGTACGAGCACCGATAATTGCGAACCTGTTATCCTTGTCAAAGGGGGAGCCAATGGATGACCCAGCTGCGCAAATCTCCGGGCATCGTGGATCGATTTCGCGTTGTCGAATGCCACGAACAAAGGGAGATATTAATCCGACGCAGCGGCTAATCTATTTCACCCGCGGACGCGCGGCAGAAAATACGAAAAGGAACCAGAAGGGTCCGCGCGAACCACGAACGCCAATCGTGACGACCCTTAAGAGAGGCCAGACCTAACAAGAACAGAGAAATCTCGATGGAAACGAAACCGTCGCGCCGTGCACAGCGAACCGATTAATTAGTCACCCGTCGACTTTTCTCGACCCGATTCTCGTCGATTCGACGACCTTTCAGCACCTGTTGCGCCTTTATTGTACTCGGCATGCCGATTATTCCGACGTCACGCCGACAAGAAATCAAACTTCCGCTCGATTCGACGCACCCCGTGATTCGAAAATTCCTGGCAACGAGGACGATCGACGGACGTTCGGTTCTCGCTCAGCGATTCAGAATTAAGGGGCCTTTCTACCTTGTGGGATTAAAAAAATCGATATTTTTTTTTTTGCATTTTCCTTTAGTATGATGTCTCGAAAATATATCTACCAAATATTAAATTGAAATTTGAAAAACTAACGAAGTTATAACCTGCTGAAATGTACCGCGCGCAGGTATAACAACTGGACGTGAAACTTTAAAGCTGTTTTTCTCGAAACTACATTTTTCGGCACTGCGTGCGTGATAACTAAAAAACTATTCAAGATATCAACATCAAATTTATACAGTATCTTCAGAACTGGTCTCCCTATAGCATGAACTAGGATAATTGCGATATATGCAATACTTTTTCTTTTATTAACAAAAAAGCAACCAAATATATGAAAATATTCAGTATTTTTTCGTAAAATAGCTGCCATTTTGCCATTTTTTGTTTTTTTGAAAAGATCCTAGTTCATGCTATAACCACACTCATCTATATTAAGAATATCGTTGGTTTTAGGATTTCGAATAACTTGTTCGCAAGATATCACGTACGCAGTCGGGTGCCGTTCGTAAAAACTGTTGTTTGATGATCAACAAAAACAGCGTAATCAATAGATATTATGCGTTGCAAAAATTCGTAAATATAGCTAAATATATAATAAATGTATCTACAAAATCCGGAATTAATCGCTCTTTAATAACCCGCAAAAAAAAATCACAAAGAAACACGTATTTTTCATGCCTACAAGGTAGAATGGCCCCTTAAGGGGACCAGGCAGTCAGAAAATCGATTTTTCATTAATTTTTTTGTTTCGAAAGTAATACCATTCAGAACTATTAAAAGTAGGACATATTAATAATTGTGGGAGTTATAATCATATAATAATATAAGCAGACCGATTAACTTCAAATTTGGAGAGAATATTTAGCAGACAAAATAAAATAAATAAATTTTTCCTGTGGATGTTTGCTCGTAAATGCTTCCTTCAAGAGATACTTACTACTATAATGAATGTAACTGTTAATAAATGTAAATTAACCGTGTATAACGCGTTAGAGATCGAACGTTGATGAGTCGAACTATTATATTTGGTAAAAACTTCCGTCGTAGCCCTCGTTAACGTCGTATGGTTCTCTTTCCAAATTTTTAGGAAATATCAAATGGTACCATTGTCGACCGTGGCTAGAGTTTGAAGCTTTATAAAACGTCAGTCTTCTCCAACCTAATTAATGGCTCTTTTTTTACCTTCACCGCGACGTGACTCCGCCTTCTATGCAGAATAATCGACATTTCAGTTATTACGCGAGTGACGAAACGCTCCGTACCCGTCTACCCCTTCTTCCAATTTCACGGATCGCTAATGAAACGGGCTTCCAATTATCGACAAATCTCATTTAATTGGTTCCGCGGAAGCACGCCTCTTGTACGTCAACAAAGTCGAGGCTCGAATCCTTGACGAACACTCGAGTCAATCGAGTCCTAGTTGACGCTTACTCTAACGACTCCTCGACGCGTGTTTTCTAGTATTGTTTCGTGTAGAATTTTAATTTGAAAATTCGTGAAAAAACTGCTGGTCTTGTTGGGTGGTAGAAGTAACAGGGAAAAGGGTCGTTTCACGCAAAATTTGACACTCTTTGCATGTTCAAACGTATTTCAAAACTTAATTGAAAACTTATTGAAAAAAGTGTTCGATTTCGAAAAGTAAGCAGGAAAATGATTGGTAATATACTCACTGCCCGTTCCTCGGATTCCACGATAAGCTGGTTGTTCTTGAGGGTGAGAGTGATGATGTTCCCATTGGCGTTCTTGCTAGTATGATTCCCTGGTGGAGTATACTCCATCGGGACCGCGTTGGCTACGTTCGCTTCTTCCATGACCTCGGTCTCGCAAATGTACCTGGGTCCATCGAGGCCGTTCACCAGCTGAAACCAGAAAGAAAGAAGAGAATCGATTGCTTCTTTCACTGGTGCCTCGACTTCATCTATGACTAATAATAACAAAACCGTCGTTTCTTGGACGATCAATGATAGATTGTAGATCTATGTTAAAAAACATTCGCTTTCTTCTATTAAATATATTTGTGTAATTTGGATTTTTTTATTAAGGGGGGAAACCACTGTGACGACTGAAAATAAAAGCAATTTTCAAGAATTTTTTGGGGGTAACTCTGAAACTTTTTTTAGTAAATGTTTAATATTTTCGAAAGTACATCTGTTGAACTGCTTCTTGCAAAAATTTTGTATAAAAATATTAATTATTATAGCATGTCCTATTTGCGTCGATACGCGTCCGCCTGTGGTCCAATTTTAATATCGAGGACCTTTGTTATTTGCAATAATCCTGAATAGCTATCGTCAAATTGGATTACAGTTAAATAAGATGCCAGTTGGAGCACTTTAGCTGTGCATCGGTACATTTTATTCGCACCACTCATCGCTCTAGACTAAATACTCTTGATTCACATAGCTATCTCGATCAAAACACTTCCCACTCGTACGAAACCTTCATCACAGTAGAAATAATAAAACAATTTCAAATGAATGTCCCGTAGTGAAGAGCAGTCAGTTTCAAGCGTTACGTATATTACATTTTCTACGCCTACTAAATCTTCTGTAACCTTGTCATTTTTGCGAATTTTACTTTAATATTTTGTAAGCATTGAAAAGAGCTAAAAAAAATTTCGATTTTTTTAGTCCGTCACAGTGGTTTTCTCCCTTAAAAGAATACACGTTTCGAGTCGCGAAGGGTTGAAGCACCCAGGGACCGATTTCCTGGCGACGAGATGTGCACCCAGTGGCCCCGAATATTTAGTCGGGACGCAACAGAGTGCGTTTCTGCTTTCGAACGAGTCGAGAACGATTCCCTCGCCGGTCCTCCGGCGCGAGAACTTTTCTCCGTCTCGTTGGCGAGAGGAAAAGTGGGTCAATGTCTGCGAGAGATCCAATCTATGCCCGAGGAAACGGTTGCTACCGTGCGCGATGGATGGTGCACGCGCGCGCGCCGCGATCTCGCGTATCACCGGGGCTCGAAATTCCCGGGGGAGATGCTGAATAACGGAAGAGGAGAGTTATCTGTCAAGGAAATTGACAGCGAAACGGAAGAGGCCGCGCCTCGTTCCAAAGTTCGTTTCCTCCGGGGCAATTCCCAATGCAGAAATTCATCCCTTTCTCGCGTAGCTGCGCGCAAATCAACCGGAAACGCGTGAAAGCCGTGAAACCCCCATCGAACGGTTCGCGTTTTATTCGTTCGACGCGCAGATGATGGCCGTCGCGGTCGACGAGTGACGCGGCAACTACGATACCCGATAAGAACGGAGATAAACGAAGAATGAAATGTCAGAAAACACGCGAGACGACTTTGTCGCGTTATCGGCGAATCGAAGGTAACGCCAAAGCAACGTTATCTTGCCTAATCTTTACGCAAAGGACAGTCGCGTTAGACTTTGTTACGTGCATTGTCAAGATTGCTAAATTTTAGCGAAATTTTAAAAAGTAAATTTACCGTAAATTGGACCATAAATCGTTTGAGGAAGAAAATTGTTCCCAATGTAGGTACTTCCCTTAATTGATTTGTTTAAAGTTGAACCGATGAAGACTTGAAACAAGTAAATACTATATAAACCATGCAACTTTTTTGTACAAAATTTTTTCGTGCAACGCATATTTTGGAAGTTATAAAGCCGCACAAGCAGCGTGGATCACCCTAAATGTTCATCTGAAAGAATATCCTCGATTCTGCTTTTCTATTTCTGATCAGTTTTATCTAATTCATGAATTCAACGTGCTCTGGAGAATTGCAATTTATGTGAACAATGCTATAGAGTTTTAAGACTCTGTTCAACATATCGGACGACGTAAAAGGTTTCAACCCCAGAGTATCCTTATGGGATCCAATCTACTCCAATCTATCTTCTACAATTTAATCTTTAATTTTTCTAGTTTCATTTAGCCAAGTATCGTGCTAAGGATGAAAGCCCCTCGGTGGATTTCCATCAATTTAATGTTACAATTAGTATATGCTGTATAGCTGCGAGAGCTCGTGTACCGTAAGAGAAAAAGAGTACCAATTACGTTCGTAATGAACTAATCTCTGGAATGCTTTCATATGCAAATACTACCACTGTGTAGATCTTTTCATGGGCTTACCTCGTTTATTCAAATTTAAACTAAACTCGATCTCGTTAGCGCGGTTTAATCTAATAATCTAATATTAATTCACTCCCTCCGCATAATTTGATTTGTATACATATTTCTCCTCCTTTTCTTGATTTGCTTTATATGTATAACTTTACATAAAAATGTCGACAGACATTTATTTAAATTCTCGCTTGAAATCACTTTCAAACTTCTAACCGTATTTCCTCGACGCCATAAATTGCCAAAAAACAATGCACGATATATTGTTATTTTTGTAAATTTCTTTAGCTTTCCTTTCGCGGAGTTAATCGATTCGAGAGCTACCGTATTTTTATTTTCGTTTCCGGTGGCATAAACCTTTTTCCAGACACCTCCAAGACGAAAGATGCATTTTTTTACGTTCGCCAGCAGTCTGGAAGGCCGCCATTGTCTCCGCGGTCGTCGCACGGAGGTGGCTGCGACCCCGTTCTCAACCCTCTCGATCGAAGGCCTGATTGGTTCATTGCCTCCTCCGCTTCTCGATGATCGTCTCTCACCGATTTAGAAAGGGTGAACGCGGGGGCACGTTCGCGAGCGTTCATTAAAGGAGCGACATCGAGAGGAAAATAATTTCCGGCTTTCTCGGTCCGCTCTTAACGACTCCTTTATTCCGATTACGACGTCCACGGGCACCGAAAGCTGCGACCAACACCACTGCACGAAACACGAAACACCAAACGATACAACAACTCGATCGGGGACATTTTAAAACGAAATACGACGCAACTATTCTCGAAAGACAGCTCTTTCTACTCAAATAATTTATATGCACGGTATTCGTCGAAAGAGAACTCGTTGATGCATCGATCCTATGGAAACAATGTCGTGTTTTATGAAAGACTAGTTCAGTTTCAATGCTGCTTTATTTCAGGTGCTCAGAATCCCATATCAGATTCTTTTACATCGATTTTTCCATTTTCCATTTTTTTTATTCTCACTTCCATTCTCATTCTTCCACTTCGCCCAGCTCTCCTGTTCCTCTTTCCTTTTATTTCCTTTGAAAGAATAGTTCAGAATTTCAGAATGTTTTTATTCGGTGCTCGGATACATTATATTTTGTTCCTTTACACCACTTATCCGGTTTTTATATTGTTCTCATTTTACTTTCTTTATTTTACTTTTTACTTGGTCGCAAATGGCCTCGAAAACTTGCATTTCATCGATGGAATAGCAGACCAACATAAATATTTAGAAATATTTTAAAATCAAATTTGAAAGACAGCACACAGAAATTAAGTCTTTCGGTCAATTACTATTTTCAGCAAGATAACGCTCCCCATCCACAAGACTCGTTTAATGAAAGTTCTGGAAGCTCGACAATCGAGCATATATGACAAGAATTGAAACATCGTTTGCAAAAATATAAAATTACAAAAAATGCTTTACAAGAAGAATGGCAAAAAATGGAGGGAAATGTAATAAATAATTCAATTGAATCTATGCCCAGGCGATTTCAACTAACTATTAATAATAACCGATACCCCATAAAACAAAATTCTGTATGGATACTTTTTTCTCGCTGATTTTCTTACATCCTTCGTCATTTGAGATTTGTCTGTTGTATTTTTATTTAAGTTATAACAAAATTCATACTATTTGAAAGCTGAGTTAATTTCCTGGCTGCTTATGTGCTTTTCATGGCGAACTAGCCTTCTATAATCAAAGTGTTGCGGTGTATAGATACTTCTTTCGGTAGCTGTATGCTACTAATTGTAAGATTTTATCCTTTGAGCAAATGCAAAAAAAGATCGAATTTTTTGGCAATTTACAATGGAAGACCCTCTTGAGCGTATCGCTGGTGTACGAAAGGCATTAGATTCATTGAGATATCCAAATGGTTAGAAAGAGAGTGGATGGAGCGTATTCCATCGATTGCAATACCACGGATAGAATCGTTCAATACGTTCCGCGTTTCTGCTGTCCGGAACACTATTGTCGGGTCAAAATCAATCGGCCGCTCAAGGCCATCAAAGCTTTTATCCCCTACTATAGCGTTTACTCACTCGACCGTTCTATGTAAGCACGTTCTTACGCGTTACCTACACTAATACTCTAGGCACATATATTGCGCGTTAAATTGCCAAAGCATTTACCGTCCCGTGCAGGCTGAGCCTCTCCACCGACCAATCGAACGCGAGCCAGAGAGATTCACGGTGCACAGTGATCGATTACGATTATCTGATCCCGGCAGGATCGACGCGGGGTCCCGATCTCGCGAAGATCGGGATGAGGACGAAAGGGAATCCCTCGTTACAAGTAATCGCTGCCTTCCTAATTACCCGAATCGAAACCATCTGTCGGTCGACGCGACGTTTAGCTTACCAAAAGTTACCTCTGTTATGAGCCAGATACGCACCGGTAATTACCTTCTGCAACAGAGTAACCAACCGGTCATTTGCACCGCGAATTTTACCTACAATTTTAGTTACGCGCATCTGCGCTTCGAAAAGGAAATCTGAAAATCTAGAGAGTTTGTATACAAAACATTGAACGCAGTTACGAGTTATTATCTTTAGGAGCTGAGACAATCCTTTGCAAAGGTCCCATTTTGTTAATTTTATTAATAACAATATGAATTTGCATAAAGATCCGCAGTCTATTTGTAATACTTCCAATGTTACTTGATACTAAAACTATATTTAACGTTACAATAATGTTATATTTATTTGTACCAAAGGGATAAAAACCACAGTTTATTCGTTCTCGTATGGAAAACGACGGTAAATTTGCAAGCATTCGAGTAAATT